AAAGAGTTAGGAGAGTGCAGAAAAGAATTTCTCTTCAATAGTCATCTCCTTTGGGGGCTGTAAGATTTTTACAGTATCCATATCTCAGGATGTTGCATACATGGGTGTTTTGTAGCGTAAAACATTAAAGAGTGACTGCGTGCTGCTGCTGAATAACAGTCTGATCAATTCTGTCACCAATTTCCTCCCAAAACGTCTGTATAGGAGCACAGAACCCAAAGAGGCTTGGTTGTTACAGTCAGCTTTTTGTTATCATGGGTAACTATGGAATGTAATGCTTTCTGTTCACCAACTGCATGCCATTTTAAATTGGTTTTCCTAAAACACAGAGCACCTCTTCACTGCCTCCACCAGCCCTTCCCCACCCCGCAGCACTGGCAGTAAGGCAGTTTCTAAAAGAAATGTAACTGTGCCAGCATATCTGTGTGCCTGGAGCACCAGGAGAGGCAAACAGTGCATCCTGCTGGTGTTAGGGGCAGAGTGAAACATCTTTGGAAAATGCAGTTCTAAACCAGCTAGGTTAATTAACTTGCCTGTAATTACCAGACTCGCTTCATTTCATCACGAAAGGCAGAGCCCATGTCTGATCCATGCATCTGATCTGGGGTGGCCCTCACGTTTCGCTGTGTGTGCTCTGCCTGCGCTCTGGAGGTCTGTAGCACCGTGGCCGTCCCTCGCCCTGCAGCGGGATTAGATGTTTCATGTTTTCTCTTTAGTGCTGAGTTACCCTTCTCGTATGCTGCTGCCTGGTTTGAGAACCAGTGTGGGGTTTTCACATTCATCGAGTTCTGGACTGCCATTATCCTGCACGTGTGGCACCACAGCCCCGTGTCTTTTCTTCATTTTCTTTTTAGTGTCACAGTTGCAGCTGACATTTGCTTCATTTTCAGTTTTGAACAGTTCGATGTTTCTGCGGTTCTTTTAAAACCTTCTTGCTTCTTGAACCCTCAGACTTTTAAATTACTTTTTTTAGTTGGTGCATTTGTTTTTGTTTTTGTAGACTCTATGCTTTTTTCTGTATCGACTTTTGAAACAATCTTTCATTTGGGGCCTTCCTTGCCAAGTCTTTCCTCTTTGTTCTATTCACAAATTCCAGGTAATTTTTTTATTTGCTTTTGACAGCCCTCACAAAAATAAATTTCAGGCGGCCTCTCCACTCGTGTGCATGGTTCCTCAGTCCTCACAACATCATGCGTTAGTTTCCTGAGTTTATTCAGATGTAATCATTTCAAACAGAGAAACTTAGAACCGAGATCTGTTTCCATTCAGTTCTTCTCTTTAAACAAGACAGATTCCAGATTACTTGCATTTTCCATAATTAATTTTTCTCTGTATTTACTAACCTCTAAACCAACATAATTTCCTGTTTGGAGAATACTAGGTGAAGATTCTTGGTTATGGCAGCCTCAGCAGTTTGCGCTCCACCACTCTTGGTAGTCTTTTCTCAGTCTCCCAGAGGCACAGAGGTCAGTGCTCTGCTAGGTATCTCCATCCAGACCACAGGGAGATGGAAGGGTGCTACAGCAAATGGCCTGCACTGCGTGGCAGAACTGCTCTTTGCTTCCTTCCGTGATGGTTTAGTTTTGCCCAGGCTGCCCCATCGTGTTTCTTTTCTGTTGTTTCACTCATGTCTGATCATGTGTTGTTATCTTGGTCTTTCGTTTCTTCCTTTCTCCAGCTCCAAGGCTGTTTTCCCATTGTTTCTGGGATCGCTAGAACATCTCACTTTTATGTTCTCCCCTCATAGGCCTGCCTCCACTGATACACAAATACCCGATTTGATTCTTACTGCTCAGACCCTTGTTAGAAGGTTGCGCAGGTCTCTGCCATCATTGTTAGTCTTCTGCTGTTCATTTTCCTTCCCACTTGCTGCCATTCCTTTATCATCACTTGCTGGATTTTCTTCCTCCTCCACACTGAAGCCAGGTGCCCAGGGGTTATGTCTCTCCCAGCCTTCGCTCCTGGCTTTATATGAGGTTGCTTATCGTTTTGCCAGCCTTGATTCCAGTGGGCCAGGATTCCCCGTGCTGAGGGGAGACCATCCACTGAGGAGGGATCCCTTTACTATGAGGGTTTCTGGCACTTAAAAACCTTCATGCCTTCCGAGTCCTTGAACCGTGCTGATTTTTGTTATTTTTTCATGATTTACTGTGTGTCTGACAGCTGGAAGGGTCCCCTCTGACTGGCACCTGAAATGGTGTTCCCATGCACGTCATCCTCGTTGCTGGTCTCGTCCAGCGTGTGTCCATGTGAGGATCTCCATGCCATCTCCTGGTGGGAGTGGGGTCACTGGGTTCTTCCAGACCCAAACCACCCAATTTTAGCAGATTAGGCATTGTCCTGTCCTCTGGAACCACTCTTGTTAAGGGTGTGTTGGCTTATTAAAATGGGGTCGGATATTGGTGGGAATCGTGAACGCTTTGTCCTTCTGCTGTTTCTCTGTTTGCCGATCACCTCACTCGCAGCCTTGAATATCCCACGTCTTTGTCCTTGTAGCGACTCCTACCCAAGCTGGGGACCTTGTTCTGTTGTGTGTGCAGCCCTGAACTGTGCTCGTGATCACGGTGCTTGGCCACTGTCTGTGATGGTATCGTTGTGTGTTGGTTCTCCTGCCATCTGCCTGTTACAAGTGGAATTTTGTGCTTAGCTGTTGTCAAGGCTCGGGGTGGGAGGACTTTACTCTGAGTTGCTCTTTATTTATATTGGAGCAAAAGATGCAGAGATTTTTGTGTATGTTTTTATCTCCTCATCTGTCCCACAGTTGTGGAGAACTCAACTTTTTTTGGTGCCCCCCATGCAGGTGAGCTTTGCTTTGATAATGTTTTCAGTGACAGTCTGTCCTGGAACTTGAAGGTGGGTTTTTTTAGGTACCTAGCGCCCAGGTTTTCAAGATGACGATCATGAACTTGGCGGGAAGTCTATGCACAGGCGTTTGGTGTGCTCGTCTTTGAAATGCCAATTACCGCATGCCTGGCTGTGAAAGGTGGGGAAAGTGGCAGATGTAAGAAATTCTTTTCTAGGCATAGTTTATGGTGTTTTCTGTCTCTTGGAGCTAGCTTTTGGCATAGGTGGGGTAGGCAGTGGTCAGAGCTGGCAGAACAGCCCTAGTAAGAGGTTCATCATTGCTTCGCTGCCTGATTTGTCCCTGCTTGAGCTCAGCGCTGCTGCCCCAGGAGAGTGAGGATTTGCAAATGGATCTAACCTGAGCATTACAGCTGCAGTGCACCAGCCGGACCTGCCAAGAGACAGGGGAAGGGGATGTCTCAGTCCCAGCTGCCTTGTTTCTCAGGTGTCCCTGGCCAGCTCATTTCTGTATGATACCAGCTCTCCTCAAGCCCCACTGCTTCTCTGCTGCTGTTTTTATTAAGCTGACGGCAAACCTGATTTAGTGTTAATGAGCAAAGTAAGTAAAAAAAAAACCCTGAAACTTCCTGACCATTGCACACATAAGTCTTCCCAGCAGAGTGTTCCTGGCAGTAACTCTTCAGAACAGTTTTGTTTTATATCAGGATTGTGTTTCTTGCCTGGATTCAGCTTCTGTAACCTGAACTCACTCACATATTGGGCAATTCTTGCAGAAATGCTGTGACCGGGTGTGCTGAGATGTGGTAGCGTCTTGCCTGTCTACAGCTGGAACTTTAATTACTGTGTTGATGAGTCCCCCGAGCACCTGTATGTAGGGACTGGGGATAGAGCTAGTCATGGTGGAGCTCCACAAGTGGAGGATCTGGTGATAAGAAAACCACCCTGTTGCTGGTTGGGCACTTTTCCTTTCCCCCTGCAGCTTAGTCTTCCTCAGTAATGAACAACAGTGTGAATGCATTCCACTGCCGGGCACGTCAAGGGGGACAAGAATATCCCTGCTGGTGGGAGGAGATGGTCTGTCAGTACCACCAAAGCGGTTTTAGGTCTGTACTGGCCATGACACATGTTTTATCCAGTTTAATTTATTCCCTTTAGTGAGATTGTCTCAGAGGTGGCCTTTGAGTAGCTTCCCAACAGCCTTGGTCAAGAAGAGCAACGATGCTGGGCAGTAGATTTCTAGAGGGAAGATACCCCGATTGCCTTTCTTCAGTGTTTGTAGGGCTGTTGCACCTACAGAGCTGGCTGCTATGAAACCAGCCTGAGTTCAGAGCTGTATCCTGTGCAAAAGTAAACCACTGTGGTGATACGGCATCACCTGGCGTGGCGCAGAGCTGTTGGGTGGCAGCCACAACCCCTTGTGTTTGCCTAGCAGGCCAAGGCATTCTCTAGTCCTGAGCTGTGTCAACAAGTAAGTGCATCACATGAGTTGAATCGTCCCAGGTTAACCAAAGTCCTATGTGTGCATTTAATGAGTAGATTTCGTGTGAGAACCTGTATCTGCTTGAGCTTATTGCTGGGTGTTCAAGATTCTTTGCAGCTGGTGCTTTTCATATCTGATTCATGCTTGTTTAAAGCAGACCAACTTTGTTCTAAGACTGAGAAGTCTCTTTTCCCTTACTAGGAAGAAGATCTCTTAAACGATGTTTGCAGGGAAGTAGTCGAGAAGTGGTCTGAATCTCAGATTGTTGACGCCAAAGAGAAAAAAGAAGGTAGTGTCGCTGCTCGGTGTGCCTTTCCTCGTGGTATGAGTGATTTGCAGGGCCTGACCAAGATGAGAACTGTCTGTCTGTCTTGTTAGGAGTTAAAACCAATGCTGCTAATATGATTCCAGATCTGACTAGCTTGTCGTTGCCGTTGCTGCTTATTTACTGTTTTGTCTCGAAACACCAAATGAGGATGAGTAGTTTCACTTCTGGCTGTCCCTAGCGTTCTCTTTGGGTTTGTAATCCTGCAGAGGAAAAGCTTTTTTAAATTTTTTTTCTGTAGGATTTTTTTCAATTTCCTTTCACAAAACACCTAGGGCTTTCTCTCTGTTCAGTGTTAACAATGTAGCAATGGCAGGTAGTGCTCTGATGGAATTTATTATGGTTATATTATGGTTATTGCGGTATAAAATGCCTATGCTACTCCAGGCGTTTGGACAGTGGGTGTTTTTATACAGCTACAGCTGCACCTGTGGAGAGCTGTGCTGTCCCTTCGGCTGCTGCTCACCCCAGTACGCATTAGGAAACCATCCTTATTCTCCCCTTTCAGAATCTTCTTTGAAAACTGTCCTTTTTTTTCCATAAATACTTGTAGGGGGGAAGCTCTGTGAGGCTGCTGCTCTACTAATGCTGCTCCTTTCCCAGTCCCGTGCATAGTCCCACCATTTCTTTGTACCCTCTCTGAATTCATCCCTTGTCTTCAGCTGTTGGCTCAGGAGCGAAGACCTCTGTCTTGTTCTTGTTCATCGGGGGAGGCTTGTTCTGGTCATGGAGCTCTGGAGAACAATGAAGTCATACACTGGGAAGATTTTGCTGGTTTAAGTAAACTGCATGGATCAGTTAGTGCTCTTCCAACTGCCTGGACCTAACCGTAGCCCATGACAATGTAACATCCCTTTTGGCAAAATCCTGCTTTTTATTTGCTTTACATTTTTTTGTTGGTTCTGATTGCAAACTGAATATTGTCACTGGCTGATGTCACTCTAGAAGCACTGAGCCCTTACTGTGAGGCCTGTTTTCACATAGCGCTTTTCTTGTCTAAACCTCATCATTTCACAGATACCACTCGCTGTCTCTCTACAGTTGAGGTGGCTGAATGACGCAGCAGTTCAGGGGCTTACCCCGAAAATTCACTGAAGTCTGTCCTTGGCCTAACCTGGCCTTTGGCTGGGGACAAGGAAAAGTTATGCTATTCCATGCATTACATAAAATAAATCCCTCTTTTGGGGACAAGTGATTGGAATTGCTGGAGCTGCTGCTGGACTCCTCCAGCTCGTACCATTGGTTACCCATGGGGATTTTTTTTACCTGCCAGAGAAGGAAGGTGGCAGGATGTGTCTAGGCTGTTAGAAGTGCAAGTATTTAATTATTTCACTGTGTTTCCATAAAAGGATAAATCCCCAATGAAGTCAGTATCTACTTGGAATAACAGAATCCTGAGGATAAGTTATTAACAAACAACTAAAAAAAATTTGGTGTCAAACCCGAAATGTCATTTTAAGAAATGGGCAGCAGAACTTCAGTGTTAAAAGGTAAATCAGCCGTTTGTTTCCCTAGGTAGGTAGACAAGAAAGTGTATTAAACTGCTCAGTCACCTTGGGTTTTCAGAATTTCTATCTGATGTGGTTTTAAGCACGTAGTTAAGTAAATTTATTTAGCTGCTTTTAACTGGAAGAGAATGCAATCTGGAGTAAAATGGATTTTCATTAGCAAGAGTCTTGCTGATTTTGAAGTTTCGTTGTGAAACTTCCCTCACACCAGGAAAAATAGCATCCGATCGTGGCTGTGTGCAGCCCGGGGTAGTTCCTCCTCGCAAGGAGAGGCTGGTGTCACATTGCTGCATCAGATGCCACGCTGGCCTTGAGCAGCTCCTGCTCTCTCAATCGTCAGACTGAATTCCCAGAAACAGGCTGGCTCTGTGTGTCAGCACTACTGGTGACATTGTGAGAGGGCTCATGGGAGGAGAGTGGGGGTATTTTGGGGTGAAACTTCTCCCTTTATCTTGGTGCACTTGTCCCCAGGGACAGCTGCCTCCCTGCAGATGGGGGACAGCCTGTGACAAGGGACAGTGCCTTTTGGGGACTGCAGGTGTAGGAGGCAGTGGCGTGTGGCATTTGTCAGCTGGGACTTCACTGCCATGTCCACAGGGCCTAACTGATGCTCTGACTCTTCTCCTTGCCAGATGAGATCCAAGCCATCGCCAGCATGATGGAGAAGCAGGCCAAGATAGTGGTGAAGCCAAAGGAGGTCTCCCAGGAAGAGAAGCAGAGGAAAGCTGCACTCCTGGCCCAGTATGCCAACGTGACGGACGAGGAGGAATATCCTTTTCCTGGCCCAGCCAGCACTCAGTGCTTTGAAGGACAATGTTTATTAAAAATCTCCTAAAACAATGCCTTTCCAGCTTTGCAGTGTCTAGTGGGGAGAATTGGGGCAAACCTTTCCATCTTCCTCCTCCACGATAAAATAACTCCCATGGAAAAAAGCATGAAAGCTCCTAGGTGGTGAAATGCCATGAGCAGATGCTCCTTTGAGGATGTTTCTCTGCCATTTCTACGCTCCCCCCCACCAACACGTGCTTGGCTGGGTAGTTTGCCCAGTCCAGGTGTGTTGCAGAAGAGGAGGGAATTGCCTCCCGGTAGCTCTGTGCACAGTAGTTAATGTATTGAATTTATCTCTTGCTTTCTGATGAGAGATGTGCTGAAAAGATCCTTTTTTTAGAGCGAGTATGTGTACAGTGAGAGAGTTTGAAGTTAACTCTTTGCTGTGCTGAAGAACAAGTTCTTCCTTGAAGAGCAGAGTTGAACAGGAGGGAATCATACCTGGCACTTGAGCAGTGGGAGGGAGCTGAATGTGGGGGTTTGTGATTGCCTGGTCTTTGCCTGCCTGCCTGTTTAGCTGCTTCTTCGTGGCTTGATAAAATTGTTATTGACAGGTTTTGAGTGGTGTGACTGTATAGAGGCAGAATTTCATTACTGATGTCTGTATTTCCTTAATTCTCTCACTGGTGAGGATGAACAGGATGGCTCGATTGCGACAGCAGTAAATATTGGATCAGAAAAATGTATCCTTTGAATTCTCTGTGACCAAGGCTTTTTGTAAGGAAGCCGCTTCCATGGTGAGTTTCCCATCCTTCCTTATCTGCATTGATACTCCCCGTTTCTTTAGGGCCACCTTTTAAGTTTGGTGATGCGTTTTTCTTTTCATGTAGCCTGACCTTGCTCATAATGAAAGGTGGAGGTCCATTGCTCCCTGCCCTGTGTGCACAGCTGAGACTGATCCTGCCATTCTCTTGCATGTCCTCTGTTCCTTCCTTCCTGCTTCCACCCCCTCTGAAGCTTCCAAGAACATGCTGTTATTAAGGATAATTCTCCCAGAACATCAGCTCAATGTTAACTGGTGTCCAGAGAGGTGAATCATGTCAGGAATTACTAGAAGTGCAACAGAAACACAACTACCATGAAACTCATGAGGCTATGGTGCAGCTGAACATTAATGGTGAACAAGGACCAATTATCCCATGTTTTTCTCAACACAATGATTTGGGACATTCCTTGAGCTCACCAGCTGGCAGGTTTAAGTTGGAAGGAGGTTTTTATCACACAATTAAAAAGTGAAACCAGAATTATTCTTGTCCCTACGTTGGTGATGGTGAGGAGGAAGAGGCAGTGGAGGAGACGCTCACTTGCTCTTTCTGATGCTCTTCCCAAAGCATTTGCCACGAGTTGCTGCAGGGGAGAGGACACGAGGCTGTGGGGATCCTTGGTGTTGAGCCGCCTCATCCGTTCCCACCTCTGCTGCAGGTGGGACAGGCGGAGCTGCCCCAGCCAGCGCTGTGTGGCACTGTTCCCATCCTGTCAGCTGGGATTGGGGAGCTTGAGGGAAGGCACTGCACCCGCCAGTTGTCAGTGCCCTGTCCCAGGGGCATCAGCTGTAATCGCGGCGTCTGCAGTTATGTACAGATACGTGCATGTATGTAAAAACAGACGTGTCATATACACAGCTGTAATGAATCCACTCGAGGAAGCTGTACTGTATGGATTGTTTTTCTTCCTCTTAAGTTTGTAGAGTTTTTACAAACTTTTTTACCTATAAGTCTTAAGAACCTGTAGGCAACTGATTTTTCTCAGAAAAATCCTTTCTAGGGAGCATGCGTTTACTCTATGTGACTTCTCTATTTGGAAAAACAAAGAGAGATTCCTTTTTCTTTTTCTGTTCCTCATTTCTTGTTCCCCAATTCCTCACCTGCTTGGTGAGGAAGCTGAAGTGGGAGTCAGGCAGTGAGGGGGAGGTAGAATAAAGCCAGCATCTGGTGTAGAGCCCCAAAACACGGTGCGGCTGCATCTGGAGTGTTGTCTGCCCTTAACACACCACCAGCGTTGTTCCGAAACACAAATGTGGAGGATGTCTTGAATGCCAGGAAGCTGGAACGGGAACTGCTGCGAGATGAGTTCCAGAAGAAAAAAGAGCAAGATAAACTCCAGCGAGAGAAGGATAAGCTGGCCAAGCAGGAGCGGAAGGAGAAGGAGAAGAAAAGGACACAAAAAGGCGAGCGGAAGCGATAGCTGAGGTTTTCCAGTTGGACTCTAAAGGGATAAAATTAACTACAAATACGGTGTGTTTAAAAAGCAGCAGAAATTCTGGGCACGTGTCTGGCGTGTGGTTCTTTGGAAGTGGGGTTTTTTGGTTTGTTTGGTTTTTTTTTTTTCATAGCAAAAAAGAAATTTCAAGCACCTCTTAAACTTGAAGTGTGCCATGTGCTTGTGGTGTCAAATGTCCCAGTCAGTTATTGTGGCCAATGTCTGTACCAAAGAACGGTGAAGTGATTCTGTCAGTGTTTTAAGTCGATTGATTTTTACTTCTAACCACTTCAAGCAAAGCAAAACGAGATGTAGGAGAGGGCTTCCAAGCTGGCTGCGTCCTCCTGCTGGCCTTGATTTGCAGCAGCAGCGCGTTGTGGCTTGAGAACGGAGCAGAGCCCCTCTCTGACGTGTAATTAAGGACATGCTGCTGCAGGGTGAACGTGTATTTATTTACGCCAGCCTTGAAAAATGTATTTGCAAATACATGTATTTATGCTGCCAAGAACAATGCTACGCCTTCGTTCTGGTTGAGCTGAGAGAGCAGGGTTTGGAGCCGACCTCAGCGAGGGTAAGTGCTGTTCTGCAGCAAGAGAAAGGAAATGTTATGAAATATCTATGAGTTGCAGCTATGAGACTGCATCACCCACGGGCTCTGGGTAAGGGAAACGCCGTGCTGATTTGAGCATCAGCCAGAGTAGAAAATCGGTTGAGCCCTTAACGCTGTTTTAAGACTTTATGCAGGTGGCTGGAAAATGGTGCTCCCCAATGATTCATGTGGGTGAAGATCGACTGTTACTTCTATGTTGGTTGCCAAGGCGAATGCTTTAAGGCAGGCTCTGCGCTGAGTGGCTGTGAGTCGGATGCGCTGGGTTTACAAGCCGGCTGCTCTCACTGGGCACAGCTGCAGTCAGGAGCTGCCTGTAGGGGCTGCAGGCTCCTCTTGCCCCCAAAGGGCTTGTTACCTGCTGTTTCCAGCCGGTTTTGTGATGGCATCACGTGCCTCTGGAGAGAACACTAATTTCTGTATGCTGAGTGTGAAGGAGGACCTGCAGTGCTTTGGGGGGCATGGGAGGAACCAGTGTGCCTTGTCTCCTGCACCCTTTGTGCTCTGGCCACTGTGTGCTCCTGGCGGCTCCCGAGGGTGCCTGGCTGCAGCGCCCGCTTTCAGCACTGCTCTGATGAAAGGGTCACGCGTCCTGTTTAACCAGTCGCTGCAAGCGTCAGCATCTAACTGCTTTATCTTTGGACTTGAACAATAAAACTGGTTGGCCAAGAAGTAGGTTCCTCTCTTGTCTGAGTGAATGTTGCGGTGAGCAATTGTGGTGCCCGGTGGTGTGGTGGGGAGGCTCCTCTCTGACCTGTCCTGTGTCCTGTTCCCCAAGGCTGTAGTGCATCCCTTCACCTCTTCTCTGGGCCCCTGCAGGGCCGTGAAGGAGCTGCCCTTGTCCCCAGGGCTGGCTTCACTTCCCAGCCTGGAGCGCTGCCTTTGAGGGCGGTTCACACTGCTGCTGGTGTGTGGAATGGGGTAGCTGTTGAGGGAGAAGGGTGTCACAGCACCATCACCGCACAGGGGCTGCTCAAACCCCAGCACCATTCTGTGACCTGGAGCCCTTAGTACACCCCCAGGGCTCAAGTCTGCCTGAAGCAGCCCTGGCCACATCTGGGTTTTGGGAAGCTGCTGGTTCTCCAGGGCAATTTAATGCTTCCACTTACACTTCAGTTGCTCTGGCAGCAGCAGCGGGTGGTAGGAGTTGGGGTTTTTCCCACATTCCTATGCTGGGCACCAAGAGCTCTTCCCCAAACCTCTGCTTACTAGCAGAAAGCAAGCGGAGGGCTGGAGCTACCCACCTGCACCAGTGCCAGCACACCAGGGCCCCTTATAGCTCATTTCTGAGACCTTTGGCTGTACAGGTCCAGAGAAAACTGCTGTGTTCACTTACTAGTGACAGGAACTGAGCCCCCTCTGCCCCTCACCGAGCTCGAGAGCCAAAGCACAAAAGGCTACGCACTAAGCACATACCAAAATGTATACATTCAGAGGGTTGTATGGATTTAACTCACAAGCACACCGGGTGTCACCTTTACTGGTACCATCCCCACCCTGCACCCACCATCACAGGGGCTGTGCTGTTTGTTGTGTCTGGCTAGCCCAGACTTTGCAGTTAATAAAGGCCCTTTTAGGGACAGGGAAACAGGAGCAGTTTTGGCGTTGGAAACCCAAAGGCATGCTGTAGTCTTGTGTAAATGGACAGGTGACTCGGCCTTGCCAGAAGGGTTCACAGTTCCATGGGGCTGCTGTCAGACTGCAAAGCTGCTGCAGCCCAGACATGGTGATTTTTGCTATTGATTCAGTGCCCAGACCAGACGCTGCCCCTTGAGAGCTGGATGCCAATGCTAGACTAACATTCAAGACATTCAGGAATGCATTACTGGTGTTGGCACCAAGAAATTTATAGAGCAGGAATAAATACTCCAGCCAGACTCCTAAGATTTCTAGTGCAGATACTGAAATGACCACATCATCTCTCTCTGACAGTACAGGACCTGTAACTCACGAGATACTTGCAGGGAAAAGAGTTCTACCACTTTGGCTTCATGGCACTGATACAGTTTTGCCCTTGGTTTATCTAAAGTTACAGTCATTTCTCACTACAAAAGGGTAATTTCAGTATCATCATTGCCTTCTATCCATACCTTCTACCTCTGGGATGGATGCACTCCTCCTGTTTGACCTAACTGAACTTGGCCCGGGCAGATGCTCAGTTAGTAGGTCTGACCAAAGTTAATCCCACTGTGTGAGGCCAGCAGTGAGAACTCAGCACCCAGCCCAAAAAAAACCCCAGTTTGGCTGAAGACTGGCCTGATAAGCGACCAAAATTGTGTGAACACAGCAGAAAACCTGACTACTCATCAACCACTTCATGCAATCGATACTGGTGACCACTGAGGTCCCTTGTGCTTGCACTCAGCAGCAGCTGCCTGCATGGCAGCCATCTACCCTCGTGTCGGGACGGCTCTTGAGGTTACTCCTCAACGCTGAGATCCCTTACCCAACACCAGGCATCGATGGCTTGGTAGGGGATACTTTTTGCACGCATGTAGCATTTGAGATATGTGCAGTAAGCTTACACAATCATCTCTGTATCCCAGACTAACTTGTAGTATTGACTGCTAACCCATCTGTACTTTCTTAATATTTTACATCCCTAAATTTACTGATTAGAACTCAATAAACTACTAGATCAGATCTGCCCAAGTGATCTCTGATGCTTCTCCTGCCACAACCTCTCAACATACTTCAAAATTACAATCCCTGTTAAGGGATCAGATTCTAGGAGCTGAAGCTACAAAGACAAACGCAGAACAAATGCTCTTCAACAAAAGCTAATTTATTTCTTACTAGACAGACTAAAGTCGGTACTTTTGCTTTTAACATCAATGTGTCCTGGGTTAAACTTCACAAATCTCAAGGCCGTGACTTGCGGTGTGAAGGATGTGCTTTGTTCTCCTGCCCAGATAAACGCACTCTGGCAGTGCTTTTGGTCATTTCAGTGATCAAAACAGTTACTCCACTTTCTGCTGCACTCTCATTCAGTTTCTTTCTCACATCATCTAATGACAATTTATGTGGTGCGATCGCACCTTCTGCAGATCAGGATTTTCAGTAGGAAGAACACAGACATTTAAAATATCAGGGTATCTAGGCAAGGACAGCTGAATAAATTTAATCCACACATTATAAACGCAATGCTAGATGTGTTAAAACCCTGTATTTCCTGAGCCACATAATACCAACGCTTCGTTTCAGTGAATAAGTTACTTACATTCCGTGCAGATTAAGATATGCAGAGAAACACCAAGCATTAATAGCTGTCAAAAATGCAGACGTAAACTAATAAGTCTAAAATATGACAACAAAATTTCAAACCAAACTAGTGAAAGAGTAACCTTAAGAAAACCTAAATTCCAGAACTTGTGATACCCCTTCAAATTGTAAAGTGAAGGTATTAAAAACAAGACTCATTATTTCAGCTGCTGCACAGCATTTTCAAGGACAATCCTGTGTGCATGTCATATTTTGATTATGTTTAAATACTTTAAAACAGAGGTTCTTTTTTTCCCAAGAGCATGCCCAAATGATTTGGACACATTTACTAAACTGCATGGTTTCACAACAGCAATTTTATCATACCAGTAATTTAGTGGAACCCGGTGCATCTCCTTTCACAAACTTAACATTCTAAAATATCAAATTCATAAATATTTATACTTTAAATATTTAATTTTTCATGAATATTGGGTATTCCTAGCATTTTTTCCTCCTGTTTCCAGGTATGAGTTTGATAAGGAAACCATTTTTACATCACAATCTTATCTGACACTGACTGGATACCCCATTAAGACTACAGTCTTTAAGAATCATTATTTTAAAACCTGTTTCCTAAAGCAAAACTAAAAGAGTTGTACACCAGGGTTCACCTGCAGAAGTTAAATAATATCTTGGCTGTTAATTAATTAGTCTGATTATTTTTTAAGTTAACATTCACCAGTTCGGCTTTACAATATTCTGACGCTGCCTGTAACATTAACAGTTTAAGTAGAACCCAAGAGCCCTTAAAGCCAATTCAACTTCTCGTCAAGACACAGCTTTAAATACGAGTATTAGTAGTTCAAACTTTACAAATAATTAAAAATAATTAGCCTATCGCCTCTCATACATACAGACTGCAGAGTGTATTTTTGTATGCAACTGGTATTCCGTTAGTTTTTGCTTACTTCAGCCCTCTGACTTAGGGTGCTGCAGCTGTTCATGTTTTCGCACACTTTTTCTTCAGGTTGCACCGTCTCCCAGACAGCTTTCTCTGGATCCAGTTTTCCAGCTGAAGATTTCGGTAGGGTCATCTGGAGCGCGCACCAGAGGGTTGTACGTGCTTTACGTGTTACTACACTCATCTCTTTAATTGCCAAAGCAAGAGCAAACACATCTGCAGGGAGGAAAGGGCGTTTTACTCTAGTACACAGCTCATCAGCAAGCACTATTTGGGATTAATTCATTCTGGCAATGTCAAAACCAGCAAAACTTTTTAGGCTCTTTTTAGTGACCAATTTTGTGTCTGTCTCTTTTTAAGGTTGTAAAAGTTGAATCTAAGAAAGTAGTGATTTTTAGGCCCTCAAACAAAGAGTATATGGAGTTTAGGTAGTGATTTTGTTAAAGCTCCCACCTAGCTGTCACCTATTATCAGGAGCACCTGAAGCCTTATGCTCAGCTCTGGTTTTTTAAGTGTTCCATGCACACACATGCTAAAGGCACCTCTGACCCCGTCCTGTGTGAGCTCATTGCTGAATGCTCACAGCAACCCCTCCAGATCCACAAAGTGGATCCCTTGCCCACCTTATTAAGGCAGGTGAAGGAATAGCTCATTTATGGCATTTTATTAAAGCGCACAGATCATGTTCTGCAAAAACCTGTCAAACCCCACCACTTCGAAATAAAGAGTAAGGTGGTGGAGTGGTCCGTTTATTTGACAGCGATGTCTTAATGCATAGGTAACACTTTGGTTTTAATTCCAGCCTGTGTGTGAGGAAACAAATTTGATACCCTCTTCTAGGCACCAGTTTTCAGCCAGAACTTGCTCGTTATTTTGGGGTAGGTGTGCACTCGCTCTTCCTGGAGCTGGGTCACACCGCACTGTATGCTGGGTGGCACAGAAAGCACGTGTGCACTTGCCTCCCTGCTCAAACGCTTCCATGGGGTTTGGAAGGAGCAGAAGACTTTAAGTCAGTCCTGTCTTCCAAGCACTCACACTCAGTAAGCATGACCACAGTTTCACTTTATTGCAAAAACCTGGCACCTACCTTCAACCAGGATTCTTGGATTTGCTGTTCCAGGTGAAAGCACTCCCCCTCCTGGCAGCACTGGGGGTGCCTCAAAAACGGGCAGAATTTCAAGGCTTAACCTTATCCCCTCACTTTCCTGCTTCACCAGCTTGCCTGGTGCTCACTTCCTGAGCTGTGAAACCCATTCTGAGACCTCCCTCCTCCCTTCTGCACAGAGCAACCACAGATTCCTCTACAGCTTCCATTGCTAAGCAGGGGCAGTACAGAAAATTGATTTAGGTAACTCAGCCAACACAAGCATCAGCCATCCAAGGAATTTTAGAAGGTAGCATTTGGAGGGATAACTCCAGATAAATAGAGGACAGACTACAGAGTGCGAGGACGTGATTATCAGGTCTTTTACTTTCAAAATTCCAATTTCCACCCCAAGCTTTGTGTAATCAAGAAGAGATCCCAGAATGGTGTCATCTGGACTGCCTAGAAGGAGCTAATAAACAAGGGACACTCACATA